AGCTTCGCATACAACTTATGCTCCCGAAGTCTACTCATCACCATTCTCAAGTGAACCTTGTGTTCCTCCGGATCTTTTGAGTAAATCAGAATATCATCGATGAAGATGATCACAAACTCATCCAAGCAGTCTCGGAACACGCTGTTCATGAGCTTCACGAAAGCAGCAGGCGCATTAGTCAGCCCAAATGGCATGACCACGAACTCATAATGATCGTACCTTGTCCTAATGGCAGTCTTCCGGATATCCGACTCGGCTATCGGAATTTGATGATAACCCGAAGCCAAATCAATCTTTGAGAACCAAGTAGCACCTCGGAGTTGGTCCAACAACTCGTCTATCCTCGGAAGAGGGTACTTGTTCTTGACAGTAACTCGGTTCAACCCACGGTAGTCGATGCAAAGTCTAAAACTCCCATCTTTCTTTTTCACGAACAGAACTGGTGCACCCCACGGCGAACTGCTCGGTCTCACAAAGCCTTTCTCCAACAATTCACTTAGCTGCTTCTTTAACTCGGCCATCTCTGCCGGCGCCATCCGGTAAGGTGCCCGAGAAATTGGATTTGTTCCCGGCTCAAGCTCAATCGTAAACGGATCCGATCTACCCGGAGGTAAACCAGTCAAAGCTTGAAACACATCCGGAAAGTCCTTGGCAACCGGAATTTCCTCCAGCTTAGCATCCGGCCCAACTTCCGCAGTAGTTATAGTCGCTAAGTATGCTTCACAGTCCTTCTCGATCATCCGTTCAGCCTGAATTGCCGAAACAACCAAACTTCCCGATGTTGGTCTGATTCCTTGATATTCCAGCAACTTCCCGTCGGCAGTCTCAAACCGCACTCGTCCCCGATGACAGTCCAAGTGTGCCTTGTGCTTCCCAAGCCAATCCATTCCAAGGCTCACATCGTAAGACTTCACCCGACAAATCACCAAGTCAGCCGGCATGTTCACATAACCGATCATCACAGAACCGTTCGGCACCCTTCCGTACGTGAGCATCACTTGCCCGCCAGCCGCTTGTACCAATCCGAAGTGATCTCCGGGTTCCTTCAAGAACCTGCCTTTCCCAACCATATCTGGGCTAACAAAACAATGACTAGCCCCGGAATCAAACAACACATGGGTTTCCACACCACCCATTGTTAAGGTCCCTACACATTCACCTAGAATGCTAAGAAACCTAGTGCAACACTCAACAAGAAATTTCATAAAGAAAAATCTAAGGTAAGTGATAGGACTTACCAGTGATCCGACGTGAAGTACTCGGCTCTGCAGAATCCTCGATCATTGAGTACATCTGAGGCATCACACTTGCCTCTTCGGTGGCGGTGGCAGTCCATCACTTGCCCATTTCCCAGCGGCCTGCACCAACTTCGGACATTGACTCTTGTAATGTCCAGGCTCATTACAATTGAAGCACAGCTTGCTTCCCAAGTCGCTACCTGGATTCTTGCCCCGCGTATCCTCTTCAGGACAGACACGAACACGGTGCTCCATGCTACCGCAACGAAGACACGCTCCCGTAGCCTTCCAGTTTGTACCAACATTCTGCTTACTCGCAGCCGAGCTTCCACTCTTGGAACCAGAACTCTTTCCGCCAGAAGTTTCCTTACTCCACACCTTCTTCTTTTGACCTGCAGCATTTCCGGACTTCCCAAACTGTGGAGCTTGACTCTGAACCATGTCACTCCGTAGCTTGGCTTCCTCACTCAGACCAGACTCCAACATCGCAGCCTTTTCAACCAACTCAGCAACGGTGTTGTAGTTCCGAACAAGACAGCGGTTACGGAGCTCAATCCGCATCCCACGCATGAATCGCCGAATTTGAACTTTTTCCTCCTCAAGCTCACGTCCAGCATACTTCCTTAGGCTGTTGAACTCAGCCTCGTACTCTCTCACAGTCATAGTACCTTGCTGTAAGTCCAAAAAGGCACCCTCAAGCCTATCATAAGCTTCCGGTGGAAAGTACTTAGTGCGGAACTCTTCACAGAAAGTTTGCCACGAACAGTCCGAATTCTCCAACCGTCTAGCAACACCAGCCCACCAAGTATACGCATCACCATCAAGGTAGTGAACCGCAATATCCTTCTTGTACACATTCGGACACCGGATAGAACTGAAGTTCCTTTCCATCCGACTCCTCCACTCATCCGCCTCAATCGGCTTAGCACCACCAGAAAAGTACTTAGTACCCAACTTTTGCATTTGATCCATCACCTTAAGGTAAGATGGGACCCTAGCAACCACAACTTCTTCCACAACATTCGCAACTGGTGGCACATTCTCCATAGGCGGATCCGCAACCGGCGGAGGTACCATCGGAGCAGGTGCAACAGCCGGCAATCTCGCCAAGATCTGAGCCAACACGCCTAACACTTGGCCCAATTCAACCGGAGCAGCAGCATCAGCTTCCACATTAGCCGCATTGTTCACATTCACTGGATCGTTCAGATTTCCCGCAGCACCGTTTGCCGCATTCACCTCATCCACGACTTCCTCTTGCACGACATTCACGTCTCTTGCCGCAGCATTCGCAGAATTCTCATCATTTCCATGATTTCTACTTGGATTTCGGTTACTCCTTGCCATCTACAAGGACCACAGATCAGATTCACTAAGTTAGTCCCCGCACTAACTTAGTTTCACACCCACAGAAAACAAACCAGACTTACCGCGAGACCTTGCCATTGGAAGGATGGATTTAACCCGCTAACCCTTATGCTAAGATTGTCTTAGAATCGACCACGCTCTGATACCAAATTGAAATGCCCTAACCCATTTTGTTCCGGCCGAGGAAACTCACGGCCCAAAACACTTAACAGATTTAAGACATTTTTCCGATTAACTGACTTATTTTCCGGCGACGATTCAAATTCTAGACAAGTCATTTTCATGCATAAGCGAGTTACTTAGATTAATTTCAAATGAGGTTCAAGTACAACGGCAAGTTTGCTAATAAGCTATTATATCGTTAAGTACTAGACCAAACAGAAATGAAACTACCCAAACGGAAATAAAATCCACCATCCTCCCTTCCTTGCCTTAGTCTCGCAAACTGGTTCAGCCACTAGAATTACCTTCCTTTCCTGCATCACAGAGGAGGCATAAGCAAACGCATTTGCTTAGTGAGAGCGGTCGTCCCGTCTCACCAGGCCACAATGAAACAATCGCAATCAAGACATAGAAACACATAGTCTATCACAAGTCATAAACAGAAACTCGTCAAGCATAACCATCCGGAGTTAACAAGAAATCTTCCCGCAACCGAACGATCCCCGGCGAGTATTTCTTCCTCCGGGTACACCGCCGATCTAGATTCTTGACCAACCCGAATCGATCATCGTGACTAAGTAGCAGAATCGAAATGACAAGCAATCGGAATAAACCAGACAAATATCAAGACAACAATGAGACTACGCTAGACTACGATCACAGACTTGTAGCCCGGTCACGCACTCACCGTTACTTGATCGGATACGGATTCTGACACCTCTTGATGCTTGGATTCACGGACAGAAATCTCCGACGATTCGCAAATCACCGGAAACTACAAACATGAAACAGATATCTCGTTCCCTTACTTAAAACATCGAGAAAAGATCGATAAACACCAAGTTTAACCGATACTTACCCAAGTTACTCAACTTCTCTACGGATTCTCGATCACAGCTTGATCTCTCGGAAAACTCTAACTTTCTCGAAATAATTCTCTCAGAAATTGCAGCTTTGATTCGGAGGTTTTGATCGCGTGAAAACGCTTAAGGAAATGATCGGGTTTAATTTATAGAGCACCAGCCGCGAACGGTTGAATCAAAGAAACCGCTCTGCAACTGCCCACGATCACTCTCTCGCGCGTCTGCATAAACCGGCCAACCGCTCCACGTGCGAAATCGTGTTATAGCCGTTAGCAACAGATCGCCCGATCCAACTATCCGATCGCCCGATCCAAACCCATGGATCAACATGCGGATCCTCGCTACCGAATTCTGAAATTTCCGGACATAACCGTTCCACGATCAGTACGTCCGGATACGTCCGTATACATCCGCAAGACCGTACCGATACGTCCTGATGACCATACGGAACCGTCCGGATCTCAAGATCGTCGAACTTTTCCCTCAACATTCGGATTCCCACGACCAAGTCTCTTTCTCTACCCTTCCGGACTACCCAACGGACGTAGGAGGACGGGCGTTACAAATACACTCAATTTAAGCCACATGACCTACACCAAAGTACAGAAAGGAGAGAGGAAGACAATCGGTTTAAACCCCCTGATTTAGACCAAGATCAACATCAAGACATCAACAGCTTCATACTGATCAATGAAGCACCGCCAAATGAAATATACAAGTCAAAGCTGAAGCCAACGATGCATAGACCTTTTAAAGCATTCAGACTTATCCAAAACCAAGATTATACAATTGATCTCCAAGGTAAGAAAAATTTGAGTTCAAGTTTTGAAGTTTCTGACTTGCTTCTTTCAAATGCAGAAAAATCGGATTTTATGTCAAATCCCTTTCAAGTGGCAGAGGATGATGTGATCCTAGAAAGCACCACAGACATGGAATTTGGAAATGAGCTTGAACCTGTTGAGCAGCACGGAGCAAGGAAGCTGTTTGAACCAGAGAAGCAGCATGAACCTGAGGATGAACTTGTAGCTGCGGATGTTCTATTGAAGAAGTTGATCAAACCACCTTGGCTTGGAGAAAGAGATAAGCCAATTGGATTCAACAATGGAAGAGCGATCCAATTGTACTCCTTTTCCCTTTTTGAGTTTTGTCCCAATGGGTTTTCTCAACAACGTTTTTAATGAGGCAATTGTGTCACTCCATCATGGCCCATTTGTTGAATCAGAAGCCCATGGACTCTTTTGCAACAAAAGCCCACGTCCAAGAGAAGGAGAAGAGTCATTCTATCTTTTCAAATTATGTCTTTAATTTCTTAGTGATTACCGAGACAACCTTGTGAGTCTGTTCCAGGCTTGTTCTCTTCATTCTCTATTTAAACTCTCTACTCTCTTGAGAAACCTTATCTATCTTTTCAATAAAAAAGTCTTTAAGATTAGATCATCTCTTGCTGGTGTGTAATATCCATCGAGAAATCATGTTCCTCCTTTGGTGTGTCATATCCAGAGAAGGTCCAGTGGTATATCAGAGGCTTTCCGCAACCTCTGTGTGACCTTTCAATCCACAGTTCACTGACTCGACCCCTTGACTCGACCGAACACTCGAGTCAAGCCCGAACCACACTCGACCATCGTTCGATCATCACTCGACTGGTCACTCCACTCGACCACTTGACTCGACTGCACACTCGAGTCAGACCCCATTCGATCCACCACTTGCCTTCTGTGCTTTGGCTCAGTTGCTGGAAGCCTATCCCAGTCACTCAACAGATTTCAGAGTCTACGATCCGTAGGAGATTCGTATCACAAATAAGGAAAAAATGTATTCTCTCTCGATGGCGACGGCAAAGGTGACGCTAGGGTTATAGCCCGACAATGCGATTTAGTTTTGCGGTCCTTTTTCGGTTGATCTATGCGGTTAATTGGGTTTCTCAGTGGTGGATCTGGGTGACTGTGATGAGATTTTCACGGTGGCGAATGGAATTAGGGCTATCGAGGTTAGCTTATGCGGTGAAAGTTTTACAATCGATTCAAACTTTGGAATTAACCTCTGTTCGGAGGAGAAGGACGGTGGGGATGAGCCTGCCAGGCGGTTACCAAAATCACATACGTTCATGGGGTTAGATGCGGTGGGGAAGGTGAGGGGTTTATCATGGCGGCGATGGGGAATGGCGATGAGCTTGTCGTGGCAGGTCCGTGTGATTGTTTCGAGCTTCCTTTGGTTTCTTTGGGTGGAAAGGATAATTTTGGTTCTGTCCCATATAGATTCACGGAGGTTTTTTACGCTGATTCATGAGGGGTTAGGTTCTGGTCCGAATTACTCTATGGTTTTAGCTTTTAGTAGGTGGATTTCGGTTATTTGTCGATGGTTTATTTCTTTAGTCCATTCATAGCTCATGATTTAGCTACATCTCAGAGTTATTGGCGTCTAATTGATCTTGGGAATTATGAGTTTTGTGGTCTATCAATCCGTCAATGGAGTGTAAGGATACAAGAAGAATTGGTTTTGTTGTTTACGGTAAAATTAAAGATTAAGGGTATGAGTTCGATTTTGTTATTGAGATTAAGGGGTCCGGAAGCATTCAATTATTATACAAAGGAATTTATTTTTGGTTGGAGTATAGTCCCAAAGACTGGAGATGACTTGGTCGAAGGTGGTTTCTTGGAGATTGCCCAATGGGGGAAAGATGAGTGTGGTTGAAAAGCTATTTTGGGAATTCCTCCAAAGTCAAGGAAAGGTTAAAGTCTGGTATCATAATTTCGGCTAATGATTGCTTAATTTATTGAGGGAGATTTTTGTGTAGGGGGTGCTGCATAAGTTCTCTAGAAGAACATGACTTCCAGTTTATCAGACTCATTGATTTTTACTCGGTTAGTTTGAGAGTTTGTTGTAAGGCTTTCATCTTAGTCTTTTTTGTAGGGTTCAATTCTCAGATCTTATATGTATGCTATATCATCTGTGTTATTGAAATAATAATAAAAGAAAGGAATTGTTAGGACAAAAAAACATCTCCACATAGGAGACAGGTCAAAAAGGGAGTGGAGCAGGTGACGGAAGGCAAGAATCCGAGGAACCAGGACATGGCGAAGGGTACAGCGGGTGGTGGCAAACCACCAAAACACAATGTTGATAAATGAAGGTTTTGAGTTGGAATTGTCAAGGACTTGGGAACAAGGCAACTATCGGTTATCTTCGGGACATATGGAAACAACACCGGCCAGATTTTTTATTTCTTTCGGAAACAAAACAATCTTCTTTGTTTATGAAAAATTTATCGGTCATTTTGGTTACAAAAATTTAAAAACGGTTGATCCTATCGGTTGTAGTGGCGGTTTAGCTCTTTATTACAATTATGATTTTAATGTATCCATTATTTTTGAAAGTAATCGTTTAATTGATATTGAGGCTGTGGTAAAGGGGAAAAAAATACACCTTATTTTTGTTTATGGTGATCCGGTTCCGAAAAATAGAGATCAAGTTTGGGAACGGTTAACACGGATCGGTTTGACTAGGGACACACCCTAGTTTATAATAGGTGATTTTAATGAGTTAACCGGAAACCATGTGAAAAGAGGTGGTAATTTAAGACATGCATCGTCTTTTATTCCTTTTAATTTAATGATTCAAAATTGCGGTCTTTTGGAGTTCCCATTCATCGGATATTGGTTATCTTGGCGGGTGTTGGGGTCGGATCCCACACATTTTCGGTAGGATGCACTTGGATCTGTCCACGTCATTATTACATAATAATCCTCTTGGATTTCTAGATGTTTCATTGCGAGAATCGAGCTCGACCTGTCGGAAGTTCGATTCAGTGTATTAAAGAGCTCGATCTTTACCAGTACGGAGTTCGCTCTTATTCAACATATAGTTCGCATAAAAGAAGGCCGAAGCGAGGAGAATATTGTTCGAGGTTCGCGGCAGCGTCAAGGCGCAGGAGTTCGGAGTCAACAAGAAAGAGTTCGGAAGATCCACGCGAAGCCCAAGATAGTTCAAATTCAAGCCGTTTCGGTCAAATTGTAATCTACATGATTAATGCGGATCAATGCGATTATGAGCAGTAAATGACCGCATTGATCATGTTTTCTCTATAAAAACAACTTCAAACGCATGTGTTTGAGGGGGAACAACCTTCTACCTCTTACTATCAAGCAATACAACATACTCTTTCTTTTACAATTTCGCAAGGCTTTTTACTATTTTATTCTTGCCAAATTCTTTCGCTTTATTTAGTTTCTTGGTTACTTTCCTTTTCAAATCCTTATTTTTCATTTGTTGATTTTAGAGTTTTTCTCCACAAAAATACTTAAAGACAATCGAGTGTGAATCCTACATCCACATTTTGGCGCCGTCTGTGGGGAGTTACCGCAAAACTCTTTAATCTCAAAATCTCTCTTTTTCAAACCAAGAAACTATGGCTGATCAGCAAGTTTTGAGCAATGCAATTGCCTTGCTTACTCAGTCAACCACCGATCTGACCAATCAGATGGGTACACTCGCTAGTGCCAACGCCACTTTTGGTGAAAGGTTAAACTCAATCGAGCAAACTCTAACGAGTGTTCAAACCACTCAAACAAATTTGTCAAACGCGCAGAACGTTGTTTCAAGCCGTTTAAATAATTTGTCCTCAGCGCGAACGACAGCGTATCAGCGCAGGCTATTCAAGACTCCCACACAAAACAGATCCGGGAGCACTCAAACTCCTCCTACAGGCCGTCCTGCTAGTACTAGCAATCAGACAACCGTAGGAGATGGGCCCAATCCAACCGAGGATGAAAATCCCCAAAATCAGGGAAATCCTGCTATTGACGAAGGACTCCTTATGGAAGAACCTGATGTCATCCTCTCCGATGATTTCGTCAAAGTTTGTCAAGAGCTTGATGAGATGAAGTCGAAGTTTCATCAGGCGACCAGTTCGGCAACTGAGATCGATCGAGTAATCAAAGAAACTCGATGAACACCCTTCACTTCGAGAATCTTGAACCTTCGGATCAAAGATTCTCGAAAGGTCAAATTACCAACTTACGATGGTAAAGGTGATCCTCAAAATCACCTCGCTGCTTTTCAGATCGCTGCTAGCAGAATTGATCTAGAACCAGACGAGGAAGATGCCGGATATTGCAAACTATTCTCTGAGAATCTATCCGGATCGGCTTTATTATGGTTCACTAAGTTGGAGCCTGAATCTATTGATAGTTTTAAGGAATTGTCCTCCGCATTCCTAAAACAGTATTCCATGTTCATGGAAAAGGCAACCTCTGATGCAGATCTATGGAATTTAACTCAAGGTCAGAACGAACCACTTCGCAAATATATCGCTAAATTCAAAGAAGTGATAGCCAAAATTCATGGGGTGTCGCACGCTGCTGCTCTTTCTGCTTTAAGGAACAGACTTTGGCATGAACCGATTTCGGGAAGAAATCATCGTCAATCGTCCGAGCACTATCCAAGATGCTTTATTCAGAGCTACTAATTGGATGGAGGCAGAAGAAGAAAAGCTTAGTGAAAGACCCCGATTCGGACTGCCTAAGTCCGGAGAGGTTCTCTCCGACCAAATCATTAAGTGATCCGATCCTTAGTCAAATTTTAGGGCCATTTCCTTAAGACAATCCGATTTACGATATTCTGAGATTCATTACTTAGAGTCAATATGCGATAATAGAGTAAACAAAGAATCGGATACTTTATTAGATATTTAAAAGGATTCGATACAACTTATGAGTTTGCATATAAGCTATTACAAGTCATATAATCGATCCTATTCTACCCGATTCATCACCACCCATCTTCCCGGCCTTGAGTCTCTCACGCCTAAGCCAAGTCCTTCCCACGATCACCATCCTTTCCTGAAAGTCAAAGAGGCATAAGTATCCGTTTTACTTATTATATGCAAGTCCATGCAATGCTCTCTAAGCCTTTTAACCACCCAGAACGAAGAACAGATCGGAGAGTGGAAGTATGCGCATCAGTTCGGCCGATTCACGGTAGATCTTCACACATCCGCCGATCCTCCGCCAAGCCGCATCCCCATTTCAACCGATCCGCCATTCGAACCAAGTTTATGCATGATATGAATGATCCCCCGATACTACAATATCACCCTAATCGTTCCGGACTTCTTCTAAGTCATCGGAACAATCCCTAGGCTAGATCGTACGTATCATATCTCCTTAGGTTCGGACACAAAGTCTAGAACCGTCTCACCTTCGATCGCACCGATCGTAACTCTCTCTTAAGTGTTTTCTCTCAAGATGTTCTCCGAGAGTTTCTGTATTTTTCCCTAAGTTTTTCCGTCTCCGAAATCGCCCCAAATGCCTTGTATTTATAGAGTTTCGTTTAGAAAACCGTTTCCCAACCGTTTCTCTAGAAGGCGCCCATTCGGCCATAACTGCTCATTGGTAACCACCCCTCGTAACCGCCCAACCGTCCTTCCGTAACCGCCCAACCGTCCAACCGTCAGACAGTTACCCGAGCTGAGCTGAGCTACCCGGCAGCTGGTCGAGCTAGCTGAGCTACTCGACAGTTACCCGAGCTTAGCTGAACTACCCGGAAGTACTTCGAGCTTAGTTGAGCTATACGGGAGCTGGTTTGGCTACTTAACGTTCATTATTCTCCTTATCCGAGCTGATGGGCAGCTCCAATCTAGACTTGTCCGAGTTTCTCCTCCTTTTCTCAGACCAAGTCTCATCCGACGATCCTATTGAGGATCGCGGGCGTTACAAGTCTCCCCCCCCTTGAATGGGATTCGTCCCCGAATCCGACTCAAGTTGATCTTTACCCATCTCTCTAAACCACTTAGGAAAATCAGCCATCATTTTATTTTCGGTTTCCCAAGTAGTTTCTTCGCGGCCTCCACAATCCCATAACACTTTTATCATGCTTATCTTTTTCCGCCTTGTCCCCTTTTCCATTCGATCAACGATCCGAATTGGATTTGCTTCCACCGTTAAGTTTTCTTTTAACTCCGAAGGAACATCTTCTACTCGCTCCTTGTGTTCACTTAGGCATTTCCTTAGTTGTGAAACGTGGAAAACCTTGTGAAACGCATCTAACTTTGGCGGAAGTTTGAGTTTGTATGCCACAGCCCCTACCCGTTCGATCACCTTGTATGGGCCAACGTACCTTGGACTCAACTTTTTCCTTGTTGAAAATCGTCCTTTGCCCTTATACGTTACGGCCTTAAGATACACCAAGTCTCCTACTTGGAATTCCAACTCCTTACGACGCTTATCCGCATAGCTTTTCTGTCGGTCTTGTGCTTCCTTTAGTTTGATCTTTAGGAACTTCATCTTTTCAGTGGTTTCATCCATAATCTTCGGACCGAACAACATGCGTTCGCCCACTGGTGTCCAACATAGCGGTGTCCGACATGCTCGTCCGTACAACGCCTCGTAAGGTGACATGCCAATACTAGCTTGATAGCTATTGTTATAGGCAAACTCCACCAACCTTAAGTACTTCTCCCAATTCCCACCCCAGTTCAAGACACATGCACGCAACATGTCCTCAAGGGTTTGAATCGTCCGTTCAGATTGCCCATCCGTTTGCGGGTGGTAAGCCGTACTTAAGTTCACCCTCGTTCCTAAGGCTTTTTGAAAAGCCTTCCAGAAATGCGATGTGAACCTTGTATCACGATCCGACACAATTCTTACTGGCACTCCGTGTAATCGTACTATCTCCTCGATATACCTTGCGGCTATATCTTCGGCTCCATCCGTTTCGGAAATTGCTATGAAGTGTGCGGACTTAGTCAATCTGTCCACCAACACCCAAACCGCATTGTGCTTAGACTTTATCCCCGTAGGCAACCCGGTAACAAAGTCCATCGTTACATGGTCCCATTTCCATTCGGGCATGGGTAAGTTTTGTACTAACCCACTTGGTACTTGATGTTCCGCCTTGACAAGTTGGCACGTCGAACACTTGGCAACCCATTCGGCTACATCCTTCTTCATTCCCACCCAATGGTAATACCTTTTTAGGTCTCGGTACATCTTATTGGACCCGGGGTGAATCGAGAACTTTGATTGGTGCGCTTCTTTAAGGATTTCCCCCTTCAAACCTTTGTCATTCGGCACACATACACGACCGTTCACCACTATGGTACCATTGTTCGGTGTTTGGTACTCCGTTTTATTGTTCTTTGCCCAAGTTTTCAACTCCTCGTCCTTCTCTTGGGCCAAACGAATTCTACTAAGTAGATCGGCTTGATCAGCCGCACCTAAACCCAATGGTTCAAGATCCTTGGATAACGCATTCAAATGCAATGTCCCCATCATGTTAACCAAGTCCACTTGGTTTTTCTCCGCTTCTACGTCGAAACTTCTCCTACTTAAGGCATCGGCGACTTGATTTGCCTTTCCCGGATGATAGGCAATATCTAAGTCATAATCCGCCA